TTGAGATCTTAATAGCTGCTTATCGAAATAAAAATGCCCCAACCCGTTATTTGATTAAGAATTTTCCTTCTTATATTCTTCTAAGTTTCTTATATCACTTGTGACTGAAATGGGGAAATTATATTTCAATAATCGTCATTTGTACCGACAAATTATTGTCCAAAGTAAATAAATGATTATTTTTTTAATATTGATACACGTACGGAATGTACTATCAAAAATGAAGCTGTAGCACTAGAGTTATTTACTTGTCCGCTAATAAGGGTATTAAGATTGCCTCTGGTTATATATTATGTTATGTTAGAATTTTGGACTAATTATCTGAATATTGATTTCGTTTTTCTCACCAGGGGATTTTTTCCTATCAAGTTCAGATCCAGATGTTCAGGCAAGCGGTATTTATGGTGATATTGGTGTTGCCGTAAACCTTTTTAAAGAAAAGACGTGCCTCAATTGGAGACCTAGAATTTCTAGTGACGGAAATGAATACGTGAGCTTTATTGGCAGTGACAGTGGCGGGTACGAAATATATTATTTGTTATATTTTTGTCAGTGAAATATATTTTTGTTTCAATTTGATGATATAAGAAATCTGATTTCATCGCTAGTGATTATAAATCTTTCCATTAATGATATAACCGTTGTAGTTTTGGCCAATCAATGCGATGCGTTCTAGTCGTTGCATTGGGATTCGCATATTTTCCTGTTCGAACTGAAGAAATTGCCACTAAAATACAACAGCCAATTCACAATGACATCATTATGCTCTGAAGCGTAGCGTTAAAGAATATCACTAATCAAAGAAACATCGATGTACCTTTCTAAACGGCTCATGTCATTTCAAGTTTCTTGAGAGGTTTACCTCGGAGAAAACCTTGCATATAATACTTTTCCTTCATTTAGTGTAATAATTATCACAGGTTACTGAGTAGCTACAAATGAAGTTATTTTTAGCTCATTAACATGAAAGATTATTTTAGTGCAAATATTTGGAAATCATTAGTCGGGTATTAATTAGATATGTTTCAGTTTTTCACATGATTTTCCACGTGACGCGGTGTTTACAATATATTGTATCTCCATTCAATCTGGTAGGCAATTTCATTGACACACATAACGAAAACATTTCCATTTCTTGTAAGATAAATGCTTTGTAGTGAAAATCAAGGCGATATCAGTTTGTTGATTAAAAACAACTTACACGTAGTTACATATTGAGAGTTCACTGTATATAATTGAAAAGTTTTTTTTCTATAATTTATAAGAACCTTTTCGCACTCCACCATACCACGTTCTAAACTGAAAGATCACCAACGCTCTCTGGTTATAGGAGCTTTCATTTCCAAGAAAGATGAACGGGAGGCGCAAATATGTAAACTCTACTAAAGCGTACTTTATGAACAATACGTCCGAATCAAAGGATAAATACATGAAATAAAGCAATGACCGAGTTTCAGGTTGACAACATCTTCGTCGAGTTTGGTGGTATATCTATCTTGGAACTTGTTGTGACCGTCTGTTTCTAACGAGCCTAAATTTATCGAAGTGCTTATCAAAACAAGTTTTTCAATTTCACTTTTAGATGTATTGATGACGTCTTGTCTTTAGATAAAAGAAGTTATTATTTGACCACGTCTATCGTATATATCCACCAGAATCGGAAATTAAGTAAACTGTATGATAAGCGTGGTGATTTCAATTTCCAAGTGTGACATTTAGAACCATCTGTGAATAGCAACATCTCTGCATTCCCAACCGGTGATGTTTACATGTTGCAGTTGATTTGGTACTTAACAGCCTCTTCCCATTATCCCGATTTTCGCGCAAGATGTCATTGACTCACAAACAAACTCATAATACGAAGTTTCAAAAGATTAAAGGGTAAATGTCGTTGATAAAGAAGAAGGCGCTTACTCTTCCACGCGGTTTTAATTTGATCGTGATTACGTTTATGTGTTGACATTTCTTGTAGTCTTCGTTTGGTGATGATATAACATTGTCATTGATAATCTTCACACGGAGGCCATTCGTTGCCGACTTACTGTTCCAAATAGGCATCATCTTCCTAGTGCGTTATAGATACATATGACATTCAGCGAGGTCCTAAAGGAAGAAGAAACTAATTTTGAACATGCGTTTGATGTTTGGATTTTTCTCCTATTTGCAGTTCTTTTTAAAATGAAACGAAAACAAAAATAATGTAATTCCCGTTAAACATCATATATCTTTCGCAAGCTGTTATTATTGGGTATAAGCATCCGTGCTTCTGGTACAATTGCTGTGCCTGTTGCCTCATACCATTGACAAGACGCCGGAATGTGTTCTGAAGAAATCTCTGCGAGTCCTGAATCAATGCAGCCTGTTATCCTCCTGTTGTTGGCATCTGGATCCTGTGCATTGACTTTTTGTCCCACACATGCTCAGTTGGGTTGACATCTTGGGACATCGCAGACCCATAGAAGCGTCTCTATCTCTTTGACATTATCATCCATGAGGATAGACTGATTGATATGCCCATTTATGGCCATCGAAATGCGGAACAACAAAAGGTCGAAATATCTTATCACGGTACTTCTGCCCATTCAATTTTTTATATCAATTTCTATTAAGTTTTGAACAAAAAACATCTCGAAACAGTAACATCGCCACCACCAAATGATGTTGTGCCCAGAATGTGAATCTTATGGCTTCCGGTTTTACCTGATCTTTAATAAAGGATTCTGCCGTATGTTTTTTACGATATGATTGTCAATGTCATATCTACATATATTGAATAGGACCTAGAGAACCAGAAGAACATAAGGAAAAAATGTAAGCTACCCTCTTCAAATTCTCCATCGATATCAAGCTCAGATTGAAAGTACATAAATTTCGAAGCTCGTATGTAACCTTGGAATAGGAGACGTTTCTTCTTGTCTTGAGACCTTCCTTTCTACAGAAAATTGCTCACAATAGCTATCAGTCCTTTTTCGCCACCATCTAAGTATGTCTACTCCGGACCACGTATACGACATCCTACATATTTGTCTCTTTAGTTGTAACTTTGTATGTTGTATTGCCGACAGGCAGTTGTATCCGATTAGAAGGACTTTGATTAGTACCCACATAACATAGTCATTCCTTGCATAAAAAGATGATTTTTTTAAATGGCATTGATAAAATGTAATGTTCAATGACGGTTTGGAGTTACGTTACTTTTTAGAAACGAACTTATCAGATCTTATCAAAATGGACCTTGCAATATCGTTTAATTTTACTTTTAGATATATTGACGACTTCTAGTTTTTAAATAACACGGAATTTTTCGTCAATCGTATAGATCCATCAGAAAAGGAAATCAAAGATACGCCAGATTCTTCTACTTAAGCTGATTCTTTTCCTACAACGAAAACAGCTTTCCATTCAGTTGTATGATAAACGTGATGATTTTAATTTCCCTATTGTAAATTTTCCATTTCTGGACAGTAATATCCCTGCATCTCCAGTCTATGGTATTAACATGTCGCAGTTGATTCGATATTCAAGGGCCTGTTCCCATTATCAACTGACTGACATACTCGTAACACAAGGGTTCAAAAGATGCAGGTTGATGGAAATTATGGGGAAGTTTTATGGTCGCTATAGGGATATCATTGAGAAATATTCTATTTCTTTGTGCGACATGCGACTTACTTGGAGTGACCAAGGTTTACATGGCGGGTGTCGTCGATGAAGCTGAAGACGCTTACTTTTCTGGAACACCTGGTCTTATTCTCTTTGTACTTTTTCAGGAGTCTCCGTGAAAATCTTTCTTTTGTTAATATCTTGTCCTAGCTTTGTGGATTTTGAGTGCGAATTATGATTGTGCTGCTATATTTCCGTGACTTTATACTCACAATTCAAAGCGTGATATTCAAAGTCAAAGACTTTCAAATCAATGATTTAGAAGGAATTATTGACCTCTTGCTCGTTTCAAAGGTGTAACATCAATGGATTACGTTTTATTCCATTTGTTTTTAAAAATCTGAAAATTTCTAGTGCGATGACGTTAGATATTACTAATGGATTTTTCAGCGGATTAAGAAAATAACATTTCTTACTAAGTGTGGACAACTTATATGGACTTTTAGTTTGTCTTCCATTGTTTTATCTAGGTGTTCAGCAGTATTAGGAAGGCAAACTAACGCACCGACGGTCATAAGGTTAAACTTGAGGGTTCAAGGTGGATGCAACGATGTAAGTTAAGTGGACGATGTAGTCGTAAATCTAATATCATTGCTGTTGTGTTTACCACATGTGGTATTAACTATTTTGGTGCTCGCATGGATCAAGGATGGGAAGTGAATCTCGTGCAAACAAATGAGCTACGAAGCAATTCATGTACCATTTGCACGAGGTTCACTTTCCTTTGTCAATGAACAGTTGGTGTCGGAACAATGAAATTCGAACAACAGAGCAGATCTTATTTCGCAATAAATCGGGTTTCGTAAGTTTTGAGAAAATTATGTCTTCGGGAGAGTCGGTTTTTTGTCAGATAATTTGTCTACATTATATTGGCGTTTTCATTTGCATTTAAAACAGCTGTTTAATGTGTGAACGCAAATACAGTAGACTTCTTTAGTAATGTTACAAACACACTTGACTAATTGTTCCTTCATCATAAAATGAATTAATCAGAGTCACTTAGCTTCACTGAGGCAAACAAAATCAAGATATAAATGAATGTTATATAATTGCATTGGCTGTGAGGTAAGTCCTATCTTGGTTAAGATATTTTTTGACTTCACAAAATAAAATGTTTTACTTTAGATCAGTGCAAATGTGTTGGAATACTTACTGGCACCAGGTGTTTTTTTTTTTTTTTTTTTTTTTACTTAAAATAAACATCGTTGTAAAAGGTCAAAATATTATTTACATATATTATCTTAACTTGAATCAGATTTAGTGATGTAATATACAAGATGAAAATCATTAATTAAATATGTCATCGATTATTCCTAACATTGCTTTTCTTTTATTAGTTGTACGTCGTGTTGCATGAAATGATGCATGCCCTCGGCGGCTCTCACGAACAACAGCGTGGAGGGCGAACTGAAGACCTATCGGTGGATTATAATAACATACAGAATAGTGTGGCTAATAATTACTTCACTTATTTTCCACAAGTCTCGGAAGTGCCTTCTGCTCCATTCAGTTTGGCTTCAACCCTAATGTATTCTCGTTTTGTAAGTGGTTTCGAAAGTATGTAACTGTATGAATTTTTTCACTTTGTAATTAACACAAAAACACAGCAATACAATATTGTTCGAGTTTTAATTGTCGTGGCTGTTTATCAAATTTCAGGTTTTTGAACTTGAGCCCGAGTACGCGTCATTTTTGCTTGAAATACATAATTCCAATAGAGTCCCTTTAGTAAATATGACCATGTGTTATCATTTAGTACTTTGTGATCCCATACAAGCTTCCTTCAAATTGGACTAGTTTAAGTACGTCGTCACTTTGTGAACTCATTACGGCTTTTCTGTCATAACATAAACTACTCCATTTTTTCGAAAGATCAATTCTATTGATCACCTTATCATAACTTCTGAAGTTTAAAGTGTGTGAGAAACATTGAAAAAAAAACCTTTTTGTCTAAACTGGTTAAGGTTTCACATATTTCCATGGACATTCCATCCCAATTAATTGAAAACCCATACCCTGGGAAAAACAAAATGATATCTAGGTCATTTATCCTTATCTTAATCATGTCACTTACACAGTATTACGTTCACTTTACGAATCAACTATAGATTAATGTTTTTTCTTCAAATATAACATATGCGTTCATTCTTCAATGACAAAAAGATCAGCCATTTCGGTATGACTAAGTCAATGGCGTCCATCGCTTTGTTAAGTAACACTATTTCACCTGAGTAACAACAGGTAAATGTCCCTTATCGAAGATACCCTGTTACCATGGAAACGAATCATCCTCTGAAACAAAATCTTCAGTGAAGATGATAACACTCATTTTTTCCATTGCTTCTTCAAAGAAATTGCTAGCACTTACTTGATTTTCATGTCCATAAGTCCAAAATAAAAGTCATCGTTCCTTTAAGGAAAAAATAGGGATCAAACAGTAAATATATCATAACATAATGTTGATGGCATGATTCAGTATACACTTTGTAATTGGATAAAATCAAGCAATATGTCATGGTTATCAGGTCAAATGTCAAGGTCATATAAGATATTCTAATGGTAGATATTTCGTTATGACGACATCAAATGATCAATATTTAGTCGCCTTTAATGATAATGTAATTTACAATGTTTACAGCCCACACCATGTCATTCATTCCGAAATTTGAACCATCCATATCTTAGATTGGGCTTAATATTGTTTTGTTTGAGTAAAGGGTATCCCAGCTTATTGTTAAGTTCGGTGGTTCATGGTGACACAAGAAACTAAAAACAATTGGAGACAGCGCATCAAGTATATTATTGTACAAGGTTGTTTTTTTTTCCAAAAGGAAAAATCACTTTTGATTACAATGTACATAGTGAATTTGATGGCCTCTAATTTATGGTGAAGTGTATATTCATAACACCATCCAATGTCATTGATCTCTTATTAACGGTTGACTATCCTTTTCATTTCTTAATTACAAACTTGGTCATCCATCTATTACCTTAGGAACCCGGAGTCATAGTACTAATATTCATTTCCTGCTTTATTTAAGATATTCAACAAAATCAGTGATCAAGGAACCATGAAAATTAAAAACAAGGATTTGGAATTCCTGACCGAAATAATAAAAAGAGATTTATCCTTTTACGACCGTCTATCGCTTACCAGTGTTTTCCAGTGTGGAAGAGGTAAGTCAGCTTTTAGAAGAGATGACAACACTACCGTTTATTATTAAATGATTTAACAACACTTTAAAGGAGTTTGTAAAAGATTCATTTTAAATTTTTTTCCCCATGTAATTGAGCACATAAGAAAGCAGCGAAGCGGTTATCATCATGAGTAAACTCTGTGTTTTTGATTGATAATAAAAAGGTTTTTAAAGCTAATTCGTATAATTTAATCACTGATTATAATCATTTGACATCTATAAAGGATTATTTTCTTTGCTGTTTTCTTACACTACCGCTTTGACAAATCAAACACAACGTCGCGTCATAAAAGGTCGTTATGGTAACGAAAATGCATATTTCGCTGAGGATTCGATTGTTTGATCAGAAAAAAATCGGATATTAAGAGAAAACAAAACACAAATGTAAGGAACGGCGTACAGGAATGTTTTCCCGAACACACAATTTCACTTGCTGACGTCAAGGGATCGACTTTAAACATTGGCATCTTCGATTTAGTAGTTAATCCAGCCGTTGTTTCATGGCAGACCCTATCATTCGTTCTTTGTTTATTTTTTTTGCGAAAAAAATAAATGGTATGAAATGTTTTATAGATGGCACACGTAATAAATGAGCCTTCATGTTGTACTGTAAATTCCTAAATGTTTCGTGGGAGATTCATTTTTATTAATTTCGTATCTAAATCGACAAATTTATTTGAACTGTTAAAGGGACATCACGGTGAAAACATATTTTTTTTATTGATTGTAAATGTTTTTTATACATCTATTTCATTTTCTATGCTATCCCGTTATCACCAGTTGATTTCCAATGTCCAGTCTGACCACCTCTTTTATGCGGGAAAGCCGTCTCAAATTTAGCACAGATAACATTACGTAATAGTTTTGAAAACGAGGCAGTGCATTTTGGAAACACTAACACATAATGACGGGCAGGAATTAAAGCGACAGTAGTGAAACAGTAAAATTATGTTTTCCAGTACAGGAATTTGTTATTGGTGTGGCAAATGCTCTTTGATAACTCTAAATGAATTCAGAATTACGAAATATGTGACATTAATCCACAGCACTGTCACGACCGATTCAGGGTGGAAGCCATTTTTGTTTACAGACGACGGTATTCTGTGTGCATGCGGTATCATGTATTACGCAGAAACGCACAGAACACATCAGAATGTCCCTTTAAAATTGTTAATGAACCTCTTTATGTACATATTTCAGCGAAAATCAACTGTCATTGTTCAAAACGTGATACACTTGTTATATAAATTCAATACTAAAATGATAAACAAATCCTGTTACCGTGATAGGTATACGTAGATTGCTTGATTTTTTTTATTTCGCAATAACCAAAGTGATGTCTCGAACGTTAAACTTACGATTAAATCAATAAATGAAAATCGATAAATGAAACATGTCATTGTGACAATCATGACGATTTACAGGGTAAAGCGTCAGGATTATTTATCCGTTACAGAGAGACTTCAAACATATGAAACGTTATTACGATCTGAACAAATGTACCTTACATTCGCCTTTCTAATACTATCTTTTTTAATATTAGCATGTCTTTCATCAAATTATAAAAAAAAATCCCCTACTTTTTGCTTAGTTACTGGAAGAGCTTTCTGCAATCTTCATATTTTCAATGATTTATATATAGCTATAAGGTGTATGGCGACGTGTAAAGCGTCGGGGTAACGTTGGTCAACATAGCGCTTGCATCATGTCGTGTCATTGTCTTTTTGATCGAAAATATTTCCATACTTATGTGAATTCAATCCAGACTAATACGGAGATAATGGATGTCAATTAGCATCAAAACAACTCCTTGGTCCTTAGCTCACTTTGACTTTTGATGTATACATCTAAATTACGGCACAATATTAAATCGTGTAAACAAATTAAGATGCTACTTACAACGGTTTATATATATGTGTTATTTGATTTCACGTAATCACGCATGCCTACGTAGATCTCTTACTTATCTATTTGGTTTCCTTGGTTTCCTGGATTATCGTCATAATTAATTCAGCTTAATACTCAGTACAAAAGGAGATATTGATGTAAGCCCTATGATTTTAATTTATTCTTTCAAAAGAAAATTAACATTTGTACAAGTCATGGAATATCTATTTAATATAGCACACTTGTAAGAAGTATATATTTTATGTACTAAATTAGCGTTGTTTCTTTACCCGCTGCATCCTTGTAGATTGTGGTGATACAGTTTGTAATAATGGTGGATTTGCAACTGTCACAGTCAATAATCCGTCTTGTGCTTGTGTGTGTCCTGAACATCTCGGTGGAATATCGTGTGATGAGCTAACTGGCAGTGGTAAGTTTCGTATATTAGGAAAAATATCTCGATTAAATGAAATTTCTGTAGAAAACGCATAAATTAATGTTTCAGAAAAGCCCCAACAGCTACATGCAAGAATTGTTTTTAATTTCGAAATGTTTCTCTAAATAAGGGACAAAATATCTGTACAAGGCAGTATATTTATTGACTATCGATTGAAGGAGCTGCATCTTCTTTTATATAATATTTTTAACAAGTTTGTTTTATTAAAATTTAAAGAATTCACAATGTATGTCTGTATCATATATCGATCGTCGGCTGATGTAAGATCAAGTAAAGATCAGAAGTGCATGATTTACCGTTAATTTCTCGTAGAGGATTGTTGTATCCTTGGGTAACACAGCTTACCATGATTGCTCTTTACGCTATGCGACGGACCTCACGTATGTTGTTCAGTGAGGCAGTACTAACTAATCCAAGCAGATAACGCCTTTAAGAGGCCATTGATGTTCACGTGACGATTAATCTTTACTTTGTTCACACTTGGGTTCATGTTTTCTTCCACACTTACTTTTGGATTTTTAGCAACGTGCAGTAGAACGATCAATTTAGGACAAAGCGGAACTGACGTCATTGAATCACCAAACTATCCTGCTAATTATAATACAAATGAAAAATGCGTTTATCTGATAAAGGTAAAGTATTTCTTAAAACTTTTGTGATTGTAGAAACACTTTTGATTTATCTATTCTTTTTTTGTAGACGAATACTATTACTTTGCTAATTACGAATGTATTTTATCAGCGATGAATCAAAAATATGCTATTGAGTGTACTTCAAATTGAAACATAAATGTGGCAAGTTCGTCATTTAGTATAGGAATGTATTAATGGGCAATAGTTGTTTTGAAAAGCTATTATTTGAAGTAAAGAAAACACTAGATAGGTATATGTATATGCAAATTGATGGGTAATAGCTTTCTCTCTAAACCGGAATATAACAGGATTGGCGTGTTCATTTCAGTGATAAAAGGGGAGTAACAATTAAACTCTGAATTTATCGAATCAGCTGTTAGATTAGGGTGGTAAAAAGGGCAGCTAACACTGAAAATGTGGGACAAGTGTGTAGATTTGAGTGATAAAGAGAGGGAACTAGCTTTGAAATTGTGTGGTCAGTGTGTAGATTTGAGTGATAAAGAGGGGGAACTAGCTTTGAAATTGTGTGGTCAGTGTGTAGATTTGAGTGATAAAGAGAGGGAACTAGCTTTGAAATTGTGTGGTCAGTGTGTAGACTTGAGTGATAAAGAGAGGGAACTAGCTTTGAAATTGTGTGGTCAGTGTGTAGATTTGAGTGATAAAGAGGGGGAACTAGCTCTGAAATTGTGTGGTCAGTGTGTAGACTTGAGTGATAAAGAGGGGGAACTAGTTCTGAAATTGTGTGATCAGTGTGTAGATTTGAGTGATAAAGAGGGGGAACTAGTTCTGAAATTGTGTGATCAGTGTGTAGATTTGAGTGATAAAGAGGGGGAACTAGCTCTGAAATTGTGTGGTCAGTGTGTAGACTTGAGTGATAAAGAGGGGGAACTAGTTCTGAAATTGTGTGATCAGTGTGTAGATTTGAGTGATAAAGAGGGGGAACTAGTTCTGAAATTGTGTGATCAGTGTGTAGATTTGAGTGATAAAGAGGGGGAACTAGCTCTGAAATTGTTTGGTCAGTGTGTAGACTTGAGTGATAAAGAGGGGGAACTAGTTCTGAAATTGTGTGATCAGTGTGTAGATTTGAGTGATAAAGAGGGGGAACTAGCTCTGAAATTGTGTGATCAGTGTGTAGATTTGAGTGATAAAGATGGGGAACTAGCATTGAAATTGTGTGATCAGTGTGTAGATTTGAGTGATAAAGAGGGGGAACTAGCTCTGAAATTGTGTGATCAGTTTGAAGGTGTGAGTGATAAAAAGCGCAGGTTACTATGAAATTGTGTGATTAATGTGTAGATTTGAGTGATAAAGTGGGGAATATTAAATAATAAAATTTAAAAGTTGTACAAATCGATATTCATTTTGCAATTGATGCCATATCTTGATATATTTATACATTGTATTTACTCCTTATCACAATTAATATCAATTTGTTTTATCCTATCACGTTAAGGTGGTAGCAGGTCAAGGTTAAAGGGTCAAAGGTCACATTACTCAGCTTCAGTTAATTTATTTTACAACGATGAATGTCAACGGGGGCATTTATATCTTGCAAACATGTTCGATTTACGTCTGTGTTATATCTCTAAACATTCTGTATTAATTACATGCACTGTTTCTAGGCGGATGTTGGGTCAAGAATAAGATTCAATTTACAAATTGTGGATATCCCAGAGAGAGGTGATGGATGCGCTCATTCCTTGCAAATAAGAAGCAACCTTATAGGGGAAAGGGGCCCAAGGTAAGTTCTAAATTAATCAAATCAATAATATGTTTAACTGAGAAGATTTTAGATGATCCTCCGTGGTCCATCATAGGCTTAAAATCTAAACATTAAACATTTTACATAGCTTGGAAAAACAGCGATATATCTATGTCCACCTAATATACATGTTTATACATAATTAAAAAAATAATTACACACACAATAGGGGTATAAGGGTTATATTTTACTTTGCATGCAAAAATCTACTTTTTTCGTAGTTTCTTGTTCAAGAATAGAGAATAGTAATTTATTTTCGCTTTTGTACACAGACCAAGTAAACATTTTTATTCGTTCTTTAACGTATAGGTGATTTGTTACAATATGTCCCTTTGCTTCGTCCAGCTTTTGATAATTATGCATGGTCTCTGATCGATCACGATTTCTCTGTTTGTTGATATTTATTGATAAACACATGCATGGCACGACATTTGAAATTGTTTTGATCTTTTCTGATTAGTTATTGTGGATCAAATATGAACAAAGAAATCCTGAGTGGAGCTCACCCCGAATCACATCTTGCAACTGTCATTTGGGACACTAACTCAAATCCAGCAGAAGATGCTTCAACGGGGTTCTCTCTCACTGTTACTGCGATCGTGTCGGGTAAATAGATACCATATCTTTTTGTATTTTTTGTTTGTTTTTTTATACAATATGCACTCGATACGTATTTCAATATGTTCGACAATGAATTATTTCTTGTTTTAATGAAATTACATTAATGTTGCAAGTCTGCAGGCCATTGACAAAGACAAAGCCTCAATCTTTATTACATGTTTGTATTTCTTCGTGCTTTACCTTTATCAATACAGAATTTGTTAGATTCCTAATAATTTATTAGGAATAGATAGTTGACAATGTAACCTGGCAATGACAGTTACACTACAATACAGCTTGAGGAAGAATAGACTAGCAAAATTCATTTATTGTAAGTACGCATGTCTATACGAAGTTGTCAGTTATTTAAAAAAAAAAAATGCATCAATGTTTTGGATATAGTATTTGATCCATAAACACTTCTCTAACACTAAACAATTATTACTTTACACGTGGTCACAGTTAAAGGAATGCTCTTTTATGTTAATGGTAATAACGACTATCCAAAATATGATTCTTTCCATTTCTTTGTAATTGCTATGTCGCCTTCCAGCTTCCAAATATGGGCCCGAAGCATCACTGACGAGTCCTTGAAGGACGAAACAGTTGTGTGATGCAATCTAAATATTTGCCTTGCTATACTTTATCTCACTCTAAATTCGTATGTAGTGTGTCATGTATGTGACCCACTATTGGAACCATTAGAAACTTTTTTTAACTTAAGTAGCAAGCTTTATATCGGATTATCTATAGATTAGTTGCTTAAATACTGCGAAGCAAACAGTTTCAAACAAGGGTTAGTTAAAACAAACCTGCTGCTTGTTTTTTTTATTAGCAACCTTCAAACGGGATTATTTGTAGGCTAAATTCTCATGTACTGTGAGGCAATATTCGATAAAATAATGGTGCCGTATCTGTAAGCAATGAACCGTGTGACAGCATTCGATCTGTATTCCACACAAAGAACTGTATATCCAAGCTAGCAGTTTAAATCCAATCAAAATGTAGACTCAATGCAATATACTTAAAATGCATCAATACATAAATACTTGTGATGTCCATGCGGTAGAAATTGCTATTACAATTTTTCTCTGATTCAGTATAGGAATATTCGAATATTCGTTTCCCTGACAAATCAATATGATATACAACAGTCTTAACAGAACAGAAAGGTACTTGCTCGATTTTGTCAATATGACGAACAAAGTTCATGACTTGTATAATCCTATCTGGTTTATTGATATACTCACATATTTCAAAACACGGAAAGCAGAATTGTTATAAAAACATAAAATGCCTTGACATCCGACAAAGAAATTGAATATTTTCAATGAGATCTATAGGATGACCATAAAACTTACCCAAAATTTTGCCAAAAAAACTATGTTCTCAATCAAGAATATTCAGTATACAAGAGAAAAGTAATAAATTAAATTAATATTAGTGTCATTTATGTACGCAATGTTTTAGCTTCTTATAAGTAGTTAAGTAACTGGTGTCATTACACAGATCTATTCTTAACCTCAGTTCCAAGGAAATAAAGTTTTTGAGACCGATTAACATGGCCCATGAAATTGGCGTGTTAGAATATATCGATTCGATATGATTGTGAAATCAGTTCTATTAGTAAAATCGATATTTTACAAATACAAACATAGGCTGAAATGTAGCTAAAATGTAATTTGATTTTGTCTTTGATAATCGGGGATAGACATAGTGACTTTCTAAACACAATAATAGTATAAAACCATCGTATTCTGATTATTAAAAAAAAGGTGGGAGGGGGGAGGGAGGGAACAGGAAATAGGAATGTTTGACACTTGAGTGTTATTATCAAATTGTGATATATTCGTCGTCATGTAGGTTGTTTGAATAGACCCTGCAAAAACGGTGGAACGTGTGACGAAGATGAAAATGTAACCGGTGGGTTTATCTGCACCTGTCCCCCTGGAATAGGAGGCAATAATTGTGGCGAAGCTATAGGTATGTTACACATATTATATTAATGATACGCATTACGTACGAGATCAAAGTGACATGATTAAGCAAACGGTGTGTTGAGCTAAATTGAATACAAATGCATTGTAAAGTCGATCTCAAATTTGGGAGGCTGCATTCACTTGTACAATGTACAATGTAATAGTAAAGTTGTGTAATTGGTAATTCCTTCTGTGAATTACAGAATTTGATCAAGGAATATGAAATCGTAGGGTATGAAACAGAAAATAATATTGTCATGAGTTTTTACTTATATAAACCTCATGGAAAAGATTGCCAATCCAAGATAAGCTAAGTTCTAGAGTTGTGATTTTTCAAATGTTAAAAAAGGAACGTTTAAAAAGTACGATAAATCATTGTCTCCTCTTAAACACAAAGTGCCGTATTAATCGTTTTGATGCTAAGTGATAAGATAATAGCACATCAAATGTATCAGTGCAGTAGTGGTAAAAACATCAAATTAAGCCATTGTATATTTTTCATTTTTAGGGACTGTTTCCTGTAACGAAGATATAGACGTTGATATTCATGGGCAGTGCTTTTTGTCAAACTTACAAGACCGGGGTGCGCGATTTTCAGACCGAATTGTAATGGTAAATATGTAAAGCGAGAATGTTATAAAACTGAACAGACATATGAATTATCATTGAATCTTTACGTATTATTCATCAAGACAATGATACATACATAATTTATATTTTGATGATTTTGCAAAAATGAACCAATGTATTTTGAGCACTCTCAAATATGTTTAGAGGGTCATATTTTTAGGATTCCATATCTACTTAACCTGGTAATAAATAAGGTATGTTACATGTAATAGTTTAAGCTTCGAATTACCGTTCAAGTTTATTTTCCATTAAAAAAAATATTTCTTTTGTAGAAACATATGGAAAGTATTTCTCGCTTCGTTTTCTAAACATGACAATAATGTACAAGTAATTAGACGACATATCATTGGTATCAAATATTTCTTGAGGATGGCGCAATTTTTTGCCCAATGGCCGTTTCAACTACAAAAACAATGAGGAATATCTATATTCATCGTAATAATATCGAATATTCGTCATTGAATACTTTCATAAATTTACAACTATTATAAAATTAATAAATATGTGGCAAGTAGGTCACTGCAAACCTAAAGTGATATTATCATATTCTTTCTTTAATAGAACTTGGAAAATGACCCTCCTGCACCACAAAACGGCATCACATTTTATTCTGTCGTGCCGGTATTTAACAGTGACCCCGATCGTACAGCTGTTTTAAAAACCGACGTTACTTTTCAGGGTAAGTAATAAATATAGAATGATTGGATTACTTTGATTGGTATAACATTATTCTTTAGTCACACCTGTATTGTTTATGATGTCTTATATTGCGGTCTATAGAGAAGTCATCAGTAGACTATATCGTACAAAGGTCGTTATAAAGTACATCTCTACTAATGTTTATGTGAATAAAAAAGACAAACGAATAAACAAAAGAATAATGAAACTTCATGGAAAAAATGGAATGAAACTGCTTTTACTGCTTGCACAGTGTTCGATTAATCACTGTGTACAGATGAATCGACAGCATGCAACGAATAATGCTTTCCCGGTGTGATTTATTTACATAGATGACGTCCCACTGTGTGTGCGCTTCAAAACTGACGTAAATAATGATGCCGGTTCTGCAAGCCAATTATCTCTCCAAGTCAGCGATAATGCAAACACTGAACGACGTACTCTACTTACTATATCTAACACTGGAAACGTTTGGGAATCAATAGAGCATGAAATTCCATCTTCAGCTTCAAGCGTGAACAGAATGGTATATATCATACCTAAACAATATGCCACCATTTGTAGGATCAGTATCAATAATCAATGTCCCCAATATTTTGCTTATTAGGATGACAAATGGTTAAGAGATATTTTGTAACTGCACGTCAATTGTAGCGATTTTATGTGCTCCTAGAACTTGTAGCTACTTGTCTAAAACCGAAACGTCATGGCGTGTGTAGAAGATACCATTGGGATATAAATCCACATGACTTTTTATTGAGGATAACGTGTTACACGCTAATTAGAAAGTCAGCAATTGTGAACAGTATTATTTCATTAGTATATTTGTACTTTGTATTGATAGGTGTACTTCAGTGGAACGTATGGATCAGGCTTGGGAGTTCATCTTGATGATATATCTATATTTCCAGGAAAATGTAGTAAGTATACATTCAATAGTAGTCTTGTGGCTCTTGTTAAAGGTGAATCCTTGCAGCTAAATCTGGATCACTCTAACTGAAATGATTAGTCAATTGCATTAATTCACTTATCTGTATATGTGATAAATTGGAAATTTTCCTGACGTCATCGCATCAAGCATATTTTGCGCTTAGTTTAGCCGTGGCATAGTGCACTAAATGTCATTGACTGGTGTTCAAAGGAGATTGTTGTTAATTCCGGTATTATCTGTTTTCGAATATTGGCAAGGTGCAGAATAATTTGCAAATACCTGTGTATTGATTTATGATGCTAATGCACCTTCCCATCTGGATTTTAACACATCTTAAGTAATATACAAGATGTCAAAATCAAGGTCCTTAGTACCACTGACGAGTCATAAAAGCAGCTGTATGATGCTGTTTTGTTATTTTTCTGCTCATTCTAAATCATTCCTGATTTGCACATTGTAATCACATGTGCTCACCATAAGTGGTTTATCTCTAATTAAAGCGAAACTCTGATGCTGGCCTGTATCTATATACACTTTGAAATGACTGTCGATGACATGTTATTCAAGTCAATTCTGACCCAGATAAATAAAAGATAATTATAATGGCAATAGTACAATATGTCATGTTATGTTAATATTTAAGAGAGAAATAAATATTCATCCGATTAATGGTAAAATGGGAAAAAATTATCAGATATATCAAAATACAAAATTTATTTAATAATGGGACTAGTGCACCTCCCCGTTAAGGTCTTGGCGCTCTTTTAGATTTTCTTCATTTGCCTCATAAGCCCTAGCATCATTGACGATCCCTAGAAAAGCGAAACAGCTGTATGCTACAATTAAATTAATTGTCTGGATCTACTGTAACTTTCTCAAATAGTTTCAAAATATGAGTAATACGGATAACTGGTATGCAGCGTTTAAATTTCGTACAGGTGTACTTCGGACCAAAAAAGATTGAAATATGGAGGTATAACGGGAAAAAATTCGTTTTAAATTTCTGTACGATTTCTAAGTAATAGAATCGGACAGGTTTAAAGAACATATTATCAAAACCTTTTTTTATCTATCTATCCAGTACGATCTATATAAATGGCAAGAAAAAGCTTAGGTCTTTTGTATTTATAAGGACTTTATGATGTTGCCTATTCTCTTATTGGGCATTTTTTTTCAACATTATGTCCTTTCTTTCACCATTTTGTCGTTTCTTTTTAAATCGTTAATGATATGTACATTCTATGCTCTCGATCTTATTTCATGTTTTTATGTAAAGGTATTGGTTTTCCATATTCTTATTATTCCTCTCATTAATGGCCAGGTTGTAATTTTCGTCATGTTTAGAATAAGGTCATGATTACCATTTTACCAATTCGGAATAATATGTACATTGTATGTCCATTCTAAGCATCACTATAGAAAAATAATGACCATGATTAATAACTTAAAGAAACGTTAAGGTATTTCTTTACCACCACTCATTTTATCCGCAAAAAGGAAATCAGCTTTAAAAACAGAAAAATAGGATTCTGTTCACGATTTCTGCTTATCTAAATCCTTCAGTTGCGATACAGGCTATATATGTGGTAAATTTCACGCTTTTCACGAAAAAGACAAACTTTAGGCGATGTTTTAGTGTTAGCCGTTTCACTATAGATTTGTGCAGTCCTAATCCATGTGAAAATGGCGGAAGCTGTACACAAACAGGAAATGTCAGGCAGTGTCAATGTGTGACCGGATTCGACGGGGACACATGTGGGGAAATTGGTTTGTGATATATATATATATATATTTTTTTTTGTATTTGTGTTGTATGTTTATATTTGAAAATATTTAATATTTTAACTGAATCTGAGTTATTTTTAATGATTATCATGTAATCTTTATAACGAAAATTAAATGTCATCGTGAGCTCAGATATTGAATAGTATACTTCATCCTTACATTTCATGTAGAAAGCAATCCTCAACCTCTTTCCATGTCCTTTTCTGAAGTACTTCGATAGATATCTTCTCGCATTGATCAATAGTTGTTGCATTGTAACATTTTATCAAAACAATTGATCAACAAAGATTTTGATTCATTTTAACATATGGCTTGTTTATATCACACTAGTTCAATGCCTTGCTGACACCTGTCTAAATGGCGGAACGTGTCACAACAATGGTGGTGTGCTCTCCTGTGATTGTGTTACCGGCTTTACTGGACAGACATGTCAATTCATAGGTAAATATATCTATTTTACCATCAGTTTCTTATTCAGTTCTGTGTAAAACAGACGAGAGTATTTCAGGCTATGAACTCCCACAACTACACAATTAACAGGTAAATACACCTAATGTTTTATATCGATCTACTATGCGGTACGAACTTAACTTTACCCTTATTTTTAAAAAAAAAAATACCAATATCTTATTTGATAAAATTGTTAAAAATAAGCGATACCTCGTTTGAATAAATCTATGTGTTTACACGTGTGTGGACACGTGATGTTACAATAGATAACTTCAATACACGCCAAGGTTTAAACTCCTCTATATTTAATGCACCACTGATATATATACTAAACAAAAAAAAGAAAGGTAACACTACTTTATTCTGTGATTAATTAATTAACCCCTTCATAAATCCTTACTAATCATGAACGAATAAGGTAATTGATCAATTCTGATAAAACTGCAGTCATGGATCATTATAAAACTTTGCGTTCAGTTGATTTTATTCGACTGTAAAGGACGTTGGGGTCAATTTCAAAGGTAACACCATTAGTAACAGGTATGGCCACCGTTTGCGAAGTAAACAGCATTGCAGCGTCGTCGCATGGAACTCGTAAACTGGCGGATAATTCGAGGAGAGATGTTGTTCCATTCAGCGATCAAGGCTTGGGCCAGCTCCTGCAAGTTTGACGGCTGATTTTGACGTTCTCTCACGCGTCGCCCAGGAACGTCCCAGACATACTCAATCGGTGACAAATCAGGTGATTTAGATGGCCAATCTAACACCTGTACCTTATTCTGCTGCAAAAAAGTTCTGCTGACGCGACTGGCGTGCGCTGGTGCGTTATCCTGTTGAAAAATGGCGCCAACGACATGGCGTCTTAAGAATGGCAGAACCACTTGTCTTAAAATTTCGTCCCGATATCGAATGCCGGTTAAATTGCCATTTAACACAACAAGCCTAGTACGAGTTTCCCCACCAATACCACCCCAAACCATTACACTTCCGCCGCCAAAGCGGTCCCGTTCTGCGACGCAGCAGTTCGCAAAACGCTCCCCTCGTCGCCTCCACACTCTGCGCCTTCCGTCACCGTGTTGCAGACAAAACCTGGACTCATCTGAAAACAGAACATTGTTCCATTGTCGTAAGGCCCAACGACGGTGAACACGGGTCGAGTTACGCCGATTATTACGGTGACGTCACAACAAATTGGGTTCAGTGTAGGGACGCCGCGCTTTCTATTGGTAGGCCCTCAACCTGTTGCGGACTGTTTGGGGAGACACACGACGCCCAAACAATGTCCTTGTAGTCTCTACTGCGGTTACGAATCGATTGCGTAAGTTTTACGGGGTCGACCGCTTCGGGGACGATCGGACGTTGACCCAGTTTGGTTTAAACGACTTACCAACTGGCAAATTGTCTTAACACTGCAACCAAAATGCCGTGCAACTCGACGGCGAGACTCCCCAGCCTGGATCATGCCTACAGCCTTTTCTCTCTGTACTTGTGACAGGCGGGGCATAATGATAAAGTTGATAGATAGCAAGATTCGGTGAGTTCAAAGTCCTAAGTATCTAAGGAACAGTTGTCAGTTTGAATGTTTATGAAATTCAAGCGAAGATACAAGTTAGTCGCAGAAAACCTCATACAGTTCTTTCGCTAACACAGACTTTCACGCTTGAATGATTTTGGTAACCCCCTTGGATTTTGTAATTTAAAACATTACCGTTTTCTAATATTGCACAAACGTCATTTTGTTTTCACTCATTTACAGGTATTCGCCAAGGAAACATGTTAACCTTTCTTTTTTGTTGAGTATATATATCGAGATAGCAGACGACCTGTACCCTGCTATAACACCTGCTCTTATTTGATTTTTGTTTTGTTGAACATTTGTGTGGAAATTTCTCATTTATTCAAGTATAGCACTCTTTAACCAATTTTGTTGCTGTGTCGGTATCTTTATATAGTTCAATCGTTATCTTGGAAAAGAGATATTTACGTTATGTGCCTTCTGCAACATCATTAGAAATATTAATTAGTTAATTAGTTGATGTCTTCAGAAATATTTCTCTTTTATCCATTTGTTTTATTTTACAGATCGATGTGTGCCAAACAATCCTTGTAATAATAATGGCTTGTGTTCACAATCTGAGGATACCTACACGTGTACATGTGCCAATGGATTTTGGGGAACAAACTGCGATGACAATGGTTAAGTTCAAATCTTCTGTATCATCCTCCCTCTACGTTTCCATAGGTTAGGTTAGAGTACCTTAGATATGCCACATATCAAGGTGAACCTATATTCCAAGTATGACGTTCTAGTGACTGGTAGTGTAGCAAATAGGGTATGGACTTTTAGATGAAGGTCAAAGGTCAAAATGTAGGTCAAATGCCCGTACACACATGGTGTCACGAATGTGAACTAATTAATTTACCGTGGCTAGTTTTGTAAGAGATCGAGTCCAGAAAAAACAAGTATAGGTCAAAATGACTTACCTTAAATTTGATAAGCAACACATCGTCTCGGCAAGGTGAACCCTTACCTCAAGCATTAGGTTGCGTACAAGATAGAGCCTGTTCCCGGTGGAGAACTAACGAACCTGCATTTTAAGGGTATATCAGTTTTTAAGATTGAACTGAGATTTTATTGAATAATATGCAATCCGAATTTTTTGTTGATTTTATTTCCAAATAAATGGACCATTCATCTTGTGGATATCAACACTTTTAATCACTGTTATTTCAATATAGTTTGGCCTATGCTTGTCAACTTCAAAATTCCTTTGCAATTTTGCAGATATATGTTTAACGGCTAACAATTGTGAGAATGGAGCGACTTGCATACAAACAGGAAGCACTACTAAATTTTGTAACTGTAATGATGGTTTCTACGGAACTCTATGCGAAATAACAGGTAGATATGTCAACAACAAAAGAGTCTTTACACTGGAGACAAAATTAGATCCTTCATGAACTTCCTATCATATTCATGTATTCATCGTGGTAAAACAGATTTCATCTTATCATTAAGTGTTAAATTGATATAAGAGTATTATGATATTAAAATAGTTTCTTGAACATATACACATATGTGGTTGCCGTTTGATGGCCCTTATGACCTTTTATTTGTTGACGGGTCGTTAAAAATGTAATAATAATAATAATAACATATATGTGGCTTTTCGTATGCTATTTTATGTAATGTAATTTCATTGGCAATTGTACAAGATGATATAACATAACTTTGCGTTTTGGCTGTCTTGAGTAAAATATATCAATTTATGTAAATTCTTGAAAGATTTAAAGAGTCTTTTACTTATTTCTGCAGATATATGTTCGACTCAGCCGTGTCAAAATGGAGGCAACTGCAATGTGGGGACGAATTCCAAGTTTTACTGCTCCTGTCCAACTAATTTCATAGAAGATTTATGTTCTGTAGATGGTATGTTATTGTATCAATGATTAAGTATATATACAAGCTCTAACATGAACTGCATTGGTAATTGTAAAACCAGTCCATTACTTCCTGATGCTTGTTCTCTCTCTTAATCAATGGTGAATGAAAAAAAATATATAAAAAAAGATCGATTTCCCAACTAGGTTGCCAACATTATTAAAAAGTTAAATGTATCGGACATACGTGATATTTCCTATGCTTTGATCATATCTTTGATATCAAAATATGCTTCAAATACGAAAAGTAATTGTCATGGATTTGACATTATCATGTTAACTTATCACGACTTAATTAGAGACGGATGACTCTTTCTGTATTTATTTGTGTCCTATCTTAATAAACAAGATCATTACTATTGTCAGGAGTCGGCTGTTCATTTGAGATAGACCAGACTTGTCCTTTCACCTCCGTACCTTTTGATAATTTTGACTGGGAGGTCAGCACCGAAGGAGGTCCTTCAACAATGCAGCACGGAGAAGTATACATGTTCGCTAGTAATGACGGTCGCAACAATGGTGACATGGCATGGCTTTATACAACTACCGGCATGCCAACAAGTATGTATATGTAACAGAGGTCATTTTATATTCCATTGCCACCGCTAGGATTTGAATGCGGGACCCCTGGCTTACAAGTCTGACGCTCCACCGATCGAGCTCGATCGACTATTTTCACTAGCCGAGTTTTTATGTTGCGGCTAGAATTTACCAGGGTTACCTATATAATACGTGAATGAAATGATTGCTCCTCCTTTCCATTCCATCTCCTTTAAATCCATTGTTAATGAAATTGAAATAAGTATTCTAATTCAGAGATAGAAAACATGATTTTTGTTAAGGAGGTGGGGGACAGACTTTTATTAAATGTTTGTTACGTTTTTCAAGTAGTAAAATACTTGTCAATGAATATGCATCAATAACGTTGAATTTCCATGTTGTAACAGAGAAAAATCAATGCGTCATATCAACTGATTGTTTAATAGGGACTTAATAATAACTTGTATTGGTTTTCATTGAGCAACGCGTAAACATATTAAGCAGTATACCCGGTGTCATTCCTCAAAGTGCTTGTATGTTTATAATTCAAATGAATAAAGGCCAAAAGCGCACCTTCGCCAATGTCTAATGTTTATATTTGATATACATATAAAGGGGAACTGGAGTAACTCCTCTAAAATCCATTTGCAGGAATCGATTTTGTTCTGAAACACCCCTGGGTGTTGTGGAATTAATTTTGTATCGTCTCGTTTCCTTCGGGAGGGGTTTGAAGAGGGGATTTGCAGACTAGAGAAAATACATGAATCCTATAAAATCGTTATCCGAACTGCTCTGAAGTATCCCTGGGTGCAGGAGATTTTTTTTAGCAATTTTGGCTTCAAAGATCATTGGGAGAAAAAATCTCAATTTTCACGGGTCTTCGGGGGAGCTTGTACAATATGGAAACTATGATTTATTAGTTTGTTTCTGTCTGAGTGTTGGCATCCTCGATACTCCAAAGTTACGATCACTTAAACTTTGTAAATCCCTGGAACATTTCATGGCAAAATTTAAGGCACAATCGAAATGATCTGATTTGACTAGAGCGGATTTCAAGAGAACAAACTGACAAATTATATACTGGAGCGCTACTATAAAGATACAAAATGAGTGCCAACCAACTTGAAAGTCACTGTTATGCCACTTTGAGATTTGTTTGATGTAACTTAAATGTTCAAACTAGCCTTCCTGTATTTTTTTCCATGTTGTCGATTATCAAACCCTTTATTTTGCCATGAGTTTTTTTCCGGGTTTTAGAGAGAGCGATGATGAGCGTAGCCCCTGGAATATCGAGGATGCAGCATAGGTCGTTTGTCAAAATTTTGCCAAACATTCTTCATCTTTAGGACAATATAGTTGTGAATATAAATGGCTTAAGTGAGCGAAATTACTTCATGTGTATCTTTTGTTAATGCAATTTCTTTATTTTCAGTGAGAAATGACATTTGTTAATATGCATCAGATTATATTTATTTTCTGATCAGTGTTTCTTAGAAAAATAAGATCTGCTTGTTCATTGCAAAGACGCGCGGTGGATATATATGAAATGAAGCAGGATTAATGTTCTGTTTTACAGAACGATTAAATGAGATTGAATGTACACAGCTACACACAAATAACATAACAGTACTCACTATGATGCATAAAGGAAAGTTGGCATTGTTAAATCAGATGTCTTTCAATAGTAGGTATCGGGGAAGATTGTGAGTCCGTTCCATAACAGGCTCTTGCGGAAGTCAAGAACAATGTGGATAAACCTTTAAGACTCTTAAATCTTTAATACACGTTAACAACATTAACAGAGATTGGTCAACTATATTTTTCACCTTTTAAATGAATGTTACCATTATTATGCCTAGAATTATGCTAATTCTGCATTCTATCATGATACAAAATGTTATTAATAAAATATATAATATTCAACTGAGATGATCGAAATCAAACTGCTAATAATCTTATTTCATATCAGGATCATCAATGAGTGGTTAGGATTCAAAGTTCATAATATTTACTGATAAAAGACGTTATAATGGTAATGGGTTCAAAGGCCAAGAAAAAAGTACGGGTATACTTTTTCTTATGAAACAAATGAGTGAAGATCAAGATCAGAGGTCAAGGTTGACGTCAAATGTTATATTTCTTGATCAATAGATGAATTTTATAGTTTATATTAAGGATGTCATATTTCTTATCCTTTTACAACTATAAATCAGTAAAGACGTTATTCAATCACACATTCACATTGAGCTCAAATTTCAAAGTAGTTTGATGCCAACAGTCCTTTTGATGTTATCAACGTATTTAGTTGTCTAAGTGAGATTTATCTAACATTTTATATTCATTTAAATCTTTATGGGAGATTATTGCTCTAAATTTAACGCGTTCTCTTGTAGCCGGTGAGTACTGTGTTACATTTTACTTCGCGATGTATAAGGCTCCTGGACTTTTTGGAGTGTATTCAACGACACCTTCAGACGACAGGCTCTCCTCAAGATGGATTGTATCGGGAGAAAATTTTACTGAGTTTAGACTTTCTAAAACCAATATACCTTCCGGACATACAAAGGTGCTCGTCAATATTGGACAATTTTCAATTACCATGTCTAGATTTTCATATTCACTATCTATTTTCATGTGAATGATAGTTCGCCCGATTTGTTTGTTTGTTTTTTCTTTTGTGAATGGGTTAAGATATAGAATAGAAATAATTTTTTTAATGTAATAACGAAATATTGTCATCTGTAAAATCGTATGCAATTATCTTTATGGCTTGTGACTTTTGTCTGTAAGTTCATAATGAATACAAAATAACGATTGTACCTAAACTAAGATTAAAAGATTCAGGTTGATGGTGTGCAAGTCAAACAATACAACCAAATATATTTTCTGGACTAGTTGGTCCAATTTTTTCCTTATTTTCTTTTATTGTAAAACGCTTTTTTTTTTTTTTTTGATTTCATCACAATTGATTATCTTCTTGAACGGTCTTCGATTAATATGATTTGACTTTGTTCGCCTTTCTTAATTTTCAATTATTATCGTGCTGATGTTTTCTGTGAAGGACGCATATTGTACACATAGTTGGTAATATTCTCAAGTATCTAATTTTCTTGTATGTGTTAGGATTAAAGGAATTGGATATCCCGCCAATATTTATACAGTAAAACACCAGAATCTTCTCTGGCCTAAAATGAACCAAAATAGTAAAGTATACGGTCCCCAACCCACAGAGGCCTGAGGAGCGGGGCTAAAAGGGTAAAAAATACCTTCTCAACACCCAGACATGGTAAAATCAAATAATTTTCAGGAATGGGAGCATCTTGTGGTGTTTTCCCGTAATTATGACTGTCATGATCCCGGGGTGTCGCATTGTGCCATGGGGGGAAGATAAAGGTTAAAGGAAATATAGATTTTTGAGAATGATTTCTTTACTTTCAATTGAAATATTTCAAACTTGGTTAGACCTATAAACGGGGGGTGACGGATAGATCGTATGCATATATTGATCCTGACTGACCCCCAGGGGCTGATAAGCGGAACCAAAATGAGTAAACTTGACTCAGACTTAGAAGATCTTGTCTTCAACACCCAGATATTGCAGATTTAAATGCTTTTTTACGGATCGGCGCATCTAAAGGTGCTTTACCAAAATTGTGAATTTCATTGCCATGTCCCATCGTTTCACATTTACTCGTGGGAAAGGGGTAGAGTTAATTAGAGTTTGAATAGGCAAAGAAGGTTATGAGCATAATTTGTTCATTGTCCATCAGAAATATTTTAACTTGGTCAAAATTATGAGGGATGACTGCTAGATGGTATGCGTCTTAAGGTGCAAAACGAGTCTCGCATTTCTTTCTGGGGAGGATGTTAACTTTACTGTAACATTTATAGAAAAATGGCATTTTTGAGCAAAATGTTTATTTTCCGACTCAGTTATATGCCATCATTCTACCGATTTTATTCTGTTAATGACTTCTACAAGTTTACACAAAGGTCAAATGCCGAATCTCTGTTACCTTTTCATTCTCAGTATATTAGTATATAAAAAAGCAGAACAATCCAATTTTACAAGCTTCTTTAATTAAAAGTTACACGTTTCTTATGTAATACACATGTTTCCTCGTATCACGAACTAATCCGAAATTCCTTTCAATGTAGGTTGCATTCGTAATAAGTCTAACCGGTGCTGTTGATACTGGCGCATACGTGGCCCTAGACAACATCAAGATTTATTCCGGATCTTGCGGTAAGTGTTAAACTGCAATAAACTTGATGTATGAGACATTCAGCAATACAATTGCGCGAGAATGGCATAGGACATTCCGTAATGAATTATAAATTATTTAATCTTAAATGACTGCCCACTATCAACTTCACTACACATATTTGTAAAGCGTACATGTATAATGCCCGGCTTGTTTAAGCAATGCATCACACTTCTTACGTTAGAATTAACTGTAAACAATGCAAGTATCACAAGACGAATGAATTTTCGAAACAATGTTACAAGCACCAGGACTGTTTTCATCAAAATGTAGGGCAATGCATATGGAATGGAATTATCACAGGATGTAAGTATAATAGGAAATGGACTGTTCAAACACGAGTTCAGGTCCGAGGGAACGAACCATCGCAGAACACTAACATTTTAAATAATATGTAATAAGTAAATAAAGGACGCAGGCAAAACTAATGCCTCTATATCCATATCTAAAATTATATGATGATCAGGAGATGTTTCCTATAAAAATTCAAAGATTCTCAGTTATTTCATATGTATAGCCAATTAAATGCTAAAATAGCAAAAACATTTCATTATTTTCAAGTTGAAATGACATTTAAAGTTTCCTCTTAATATATTGTTCCTGGGAAGGCGCACAATTTTTCTACTCCAAGGCAGTCCATGGACACGGTATATATAATCCTCCGTGTCATTGTTTTCTTTCTGCTTAGCTTCCTCGTATAATGCCTTCTCTGCTTCTCTTTCACATTGTGTTAAGTCGTTTCTTATTCGTATTGAGGAAAGATGACTATGATTTCTTATTTTTCTGATATTTTTTAAAGAGTCCTTTCTTTGGTTGTTGTGACTCAAAACGAACTAGAATAGGCCGGCTGTTATTGATTATAATACTGGACTCTGGTCTCTTTCCCAATCGTATAATTTTTTCTAGGCCTATCTTTGTTTGACACTCCACATACTTCTAATAAATTTTCTACAAATGTAGCATCTTCTTTCGGTCGTGATGGGACTGTTCCGGAACTCCAAATAGAATTATGTTGTTTTTCCTCTCTGCTCGCTCTTTAATTTCAGCAACTATTTCGTCTTTGCTTGGTGCAGATTTCTCAGATTTCAAGTTCATTTCCAGTTTAGCAATTAACCCTTTTACCTCTCTTTTAGGTTCCTCAATTCTATCTTCAAATTCTTGCCTGATTTGCCTACACCTCTCTTCTATTTTTCTGTCCGTGAGAATATTCTTTTCGACTGTCATTCTGCATGGTGGACATAACCATATTGTATCTAATTGTGATGTCATATTTCTTTGAATCATCTGATGCAGAAAAGGTCCTGGCATCGATCACACTTCATGTACTTTTTTGCCTCCTTCGAGCATATCTTTCAGTTATACTGTTCCTCCATCAATGCGTCGTTGAAGGACTCTTCCGGGTTGGATTCCAGTTGAGAAGCCGATTTCTTGCTACTTCTTGCACTTCGGGTTTTGCCTTTAGTCATTTTATCTGCAATTTCGCGTATATTTTCGTATCCACGAATTCACGCTATATCTAGGATGGTCTCTTGATCACTTCCATACTATATGTATCGATAATTACCTCCTTATCGGCAAACTATTGACGAAAATTACCCCCTTGGCTACGGAGCATCCACAAGTACGACCGTATCCATGGCGTGACGTCACAATACTTTTCAAGCTGTTGAAATAATTTAATGAACTCGACCTAACTGCATCTGTTTTAACATTCATATATAGATAGATACAAATATCACGGAAATCGTTATGAAATGGACCGGCACGGCAAATGGAGACTTTTAACTTCTAACTTCATTTGAGTTGTCTTGTCCAGCAAGTATTTTTCCTGTGTTTTCGATCCGATATGCGAGGCGTAATTTTGATGATCAGATATTCCATTGATAAAATGGTTTAAAACTGATATCTAATATTTATCCTGCAACTGCGCTGCCATTGTCTGAATTAACCAGTCAAATATACTGTTGTATTCGGCAGTGATGAACATGTTTTAGCATGTCCATTACTTCTACATTAATTTCTTTCTGATGTACTTTAACATTGCATTTAGAAATTTGAATAATTGTTTTAATAAGTGATTTTATTTATAGAAATAAAAACGATTATTTATGAAAATCTGTAAAATGGCTCTTTATATCATTTGAAGTGTAGAACGGTAATTTCGTGTATTCCCCAGCAATTTTTTGGATGTGCGACGTCAGGCACAATTCAGCGAAATGTCAACGACTGAAAAGACCTAACAAACAGTTGAAATTTCGATGGTCCAAATGTTCAATAAGTGTTGCAGATTAGAAAGAACGCATGCATAGTCAATGTGTTAAAATTGACTGGGGACAGAAAGACTAAAATGGCTTGCCAAAGGCAAAAAAAAAAAATCTGCTTTAAATTACTGGAATTGACCAAGATTTACACACCAGAGGTCGTTGATGCAGCAGTCGCTTACCCATCCGCACCACTTGTTAAATCTCTCAAACGGGAAATTCGTTGTTTTTGTTTCGTTTATTCTAATTATCATTACAATATTGTCATTGTAAGGCATTTATTTCAGTGAAAGTCCGAACATTGCCATGGTTGCGTGATCCACGGAGAAAATTATTATCAAGGATTTATTAACACATATAAAAGATTCGTTGCCGATTCACTTCTATAGGAGAGCCATTGTCTATGACTTTGAAGTCAGGACAGCCGGCGAGCCACGACGCAAACGACACTTGAAAATAATCTCGGAACTAGAACGTTATTTTCCCTTTATTGTATTTTCCCAATAATAGAAGAAAAGTATTTAAATGAATTAAAGTGTACGAAGAGAAAATAACTAATGAGGATATCATGCTTGCGTTTTAGAGAGTATGTGAGGAGTATTATCCTTAACAAGTTTTACAATGCTGTATCTCTCAAACGCGCAGAGTCCTCTGTTCGGATCAGATGTCGTATAGTCATTAACATTAAAATAACATTACAACTGTATCTAAATATTCCCTGGTGTTCTTTAAGATCTATAAAAAAAAATGCTTATCACCTGTTTTCTGCGTTTTAGCCTATGGTTTTATTTGAAAAAAAAATAGAAATGAAATGTGTTCACAATCATCATGATATCCCTGCTAACTTGCCAATTTCAATACCTATGTAAATCAGTCCTGAACATTGACCTTTTCAGAAAGTATCAGTATATTTACATTCTTAAAGCATTTATTCAACTACCAAGAAGTAACTACCAATACAAACAAGAAAAAGTCTTGATATGTAAAGTGATTAATAGACTAAGTGTATTCTGGTCATATTAATTTCTATCAATAATTCAATAGTATGTAGAATAAATATTGAACAATTGTTAAAAGGAAATAATTCCAGTCAGCTTGGATCGTTATGTAAATAGACTATATTTCGTCAAATAAGTATTGTAGAATGTATATGTGTGGTCAGCTCATCTTATGTAATCAAGATGTATTCATATCAGTTGTTTATATGGTCATTAACAAAACAATAACTAGCTAAATATTAAGAAGTATTTACATATTAGTGTATTAAAAATGCAGTTGTGTTTCATACATGTTTTTAAGTATTCTAAAATTGAATATTAAAGATGGAGTCGGGTGACATACAGTCATGGTAAAACGGAAAACAACTGTGTGCTGTGTAACGATTTTAGTAAATGATTTGGTATTCACCAGTTTCATGATAAAAAGGAAAATAAAAGTCAACTAAGACGACAGAAAAATAAATAAAAAAATGTTCCAGTTGAGCTTTGATAACCGAGCCGTAACCGGTTGTCAAACTAAGTAACTAAACTAAACCTATCGCTTGTTACTCCGCAGAGCATAATAACTTGCTACTTGATGACAAAGTAGACGAAACTTTATGTCGTTTAGAAGCTTTGTAATTCTGACTCTTTCACACGCGCACATGATCTAGTGCATGATGTAGCCATTTAAACAAAACGCCGGCCTCGCCATACAAAATTTGATTGAAGTATAGCATTATCTTATTTCGATTAGATTTAAACTAGCATCGCTAACGATAGCGGGGTAGTATTTATCTTTATATTTATGCAGGAATGTCTGTATAAACATTTCTTGTGTTTATTTGTCGTACTAGTTACATAAAATATGAGACTGAATTTCTTTCTCCTTTTTTAAAACAATCAGATGCTTGCAAACCCAACCCATGTGACAACGGAGGGACATGTGCTGAGGTGAATGGTGGCGCTTTCTGTACCTGTGCCAGTGGCTACATGGGGCCAACTTGTTCCGAAAGTATGTTACCCTAAGAATAAATGTCATAAATACATGTACAAGCGTATAGCAATAGTTTTGAAGTGGTTGACTCGTATATATCAGATGTTACGGTTCAATTCCTCGGTGAAAAATAAAACGAGTTAATTAAAAAAACGCCAAATAATATGCTACTGTCTTTAAATATTAATTTTGAAAACATTCTTTTTGAAGATACGCCGGTTTGCGAATCCAACCCTTGTCAAAACGGAGGGACATGTTCTGGGTCTGCAGATTCCTTCACCTGTGCTTGCGCCGATGGATTTTCCGGACTGCTTTGTGAACAAGGTCAGATAGGAATAATATGTTTTACATTAAAGAGAACAGTTATTGTATTTTATGTTGTCGTTCGCATAGCCCTGATTGCTTCGTAAGGGGTTTGCGTTGTTATATCTTGTATATATATAAGACGAAGAGAATAAAACATTTGTGTGAGTAATAGAACCAACAGAAAATGAACCTAGTAAAGTAACAAAATTTCGATCTCAGCAGTGAACAGCATACAAACTTGTGATTTACCCAACATTCTGGACAAAACAAATGACATTTTTGTTCCGGATTTCCTGATGGCTATATTTAAACGATTTGGTTTGGAATATCCCCACCTATTTCGCCACTCCAAACTGACCTGGGGAGAGAAATTATATTGCTAACAATAGTTTAAAAAGTCATAAAATTCAGAAATAAGCCTTTAAAGTTCAGTTATGAGTGTATTATGAAATGGTGAGAATTTTCTTACAGATACGATAAGAAATAATGGAGATCGCAGTTAAAAAAAAAATTCATAGAACTAAATCAAGACTGTCATATCCTATCGGAATTCTTATGTGAAAATATGGTGTAAAAAGTGAAAAATAGGACATATTTCTTCTTAACATCGTAGTGATTCCATCTGTTCGACATGTAACCGGATGCAATAACAGAAAGACCATCAATTTGAAAAATTAAGTTTGTATTCTTTCCTCGCAGGTGAATGTTCCAAAATGTATTCTCATTCTATCTGATTATATCTGTATTGTTTTGATTATCAGATCAGTGTTACCCACCACCGTGTCTAAATGGAGGTACCTGTAGCATAGCAGGATCATCATTTAGTTGTAGCTGTGATACCGGGTTTACGGGAACAATATGTGAAGCAAACAGTAAGACAAATTTATATATTTTCTCGAATGCTTGTTTTGTGATCTGCATAGACGCGCTTTTCAATTACATCTTCATTATACCTGATCGGTTCATTGCAAATCTAACTGAAGCATATAAATAGTATTCTCATTATATCTGATCATATCTGTATTGTTTTGATTATCAGTTCAGTGTAATTCAGCACCGTGTCAAAATGGAGGTACTTGTAACCCAGCAGGATCATCATTTAGTTGTAGCTGTGATACCGGGTTTACGGGATCGACATGTGAAACAAACAGTAAGACATATTTATATATTTTCTCGAATGCTTGTTTTGTGATCTGCATAGACGCGCTTTTCAATTACATCTTCATTATACCTGATCGGTTCATTGCAAATCTAACTGAAGCATATAAATAGTATTCTCATTATATCTGATCATATCTGTATTGTTTTGTTTATCAGTTCAGTGTAATTCGGCACCGTGTCAAAATGGAGGTACCTGTAGCATTGCAGGATCATCATTTAGTTGTAGCTGTGATACCGGTTTTCCGGGATCGACATATGAAATAAATTGAATTACACCTTCATTATACCTGATCGGTTCATTGCAAATCTAACTGAAGCATATAAATAGTATTCTCATTCGCTCTGATCATATCTGTATTGTTTTGACTATCAGTTCAGTGTAATTCGGCACTGTGTCAAAATGGAGGTACCTGTAGCATTGCAGGATCATCATTTAGTTGTAGCTGTGATACCGGGTTTACGGGATCGACATGTGAAACAAACAGTAAAACAAATTGAAAAAAATTTAATATTTTCTCCAACGGTTGTTTTTTTTATCTGCATAGACGCGCTTTTCAATTACATCTTCATTATAGCTGATCGGTTCATTGCAAATCTAACTGAAGCAGATAAATAGTATTCTCAATCTATCTGATTATATCTGTATTGTTTTAACTATTAGATCCATGTGATTCATCACCGTGTCTAAATGAAGGTACTTGTAACCCAGCATGATCACCATTTAGTTGTAGCTGTGATACCGGGTTTACGGGATCGACATGTGAAACAAATTGAATTACATCCTCATTATACTTGATCGGTTCATGGCAAATCTAATGAAGCGCTTTTCAATTAGTATCTTCATTATACCTGAACGGTATATTGTATGTTCTCAAGCAGATAAATAGTATTCTCATTCTATCTGATTATATCTCTATTGTTTTAAGTATAAGATAAATATGATTCATCACCGTGTCAAATTGGAGGTACCTGTATCATAGCAGGATCACCATTTAGTTGTAGCTGTGATACCGGGTTTACGGGATCGACATGTGAAACAAATTGAATTACATCTTCATTATACTTGATCGGTTCATTGCAAATCTAACTGAAACATATAAATAGTATTCTCATTCTATCTGATTATATCTGTATTGTTTTGATTATCAGTTCAGTGTAATTCAGCACCGTGTCAAAATGGAGGTACTTGTAACCCAGCAGGATCATCATTTAGTTGTAGCTGTGATACCGGGTTTACGGGATCGACATGTGAAACAAACAGTAAGACAAATTAAAAAAAAATTAATATTTTCTCCAATGCTTATTTTTTAATCTGCATAGACAAATTGATATATTTTCTCCAATGCTTATTTTTTAATCTACATAGACGCGCTTTTGAATTATATCTTCATAATACCTGAACTGTTCATTGCAAATCTAACTGAAGCATATAAATAGTATTCTCATTTTCTGATTATATCTGTATTGTTTTGATTATCAGTTCAGTGTAATTCAGCACCATGTCAAAATGGAGGTACTTGTAACCCAGCAGGATCATCATTTAGTTGTAGCTGTGATACCGGGTTTACGGGATCGACATGTGAAACAAACAGTAAGACACATTAAAAACTTTAAATCTACATAGATGCGCTTTTCAATTACATCTTCATTATACCTGAACGGTTCCTTGGGAATCTATCTCAAGCAGATAAATAGTATTCTCATTCTATCTGATTATATCTCTATTGTTTTAAGTATAAGATAAATATGATTCATCACCGTTTCAAATTGGAGGTACCTGTATCATAGCATGATCACCATTTAGTTGTAGCTGTGATACCGGGTTTTCGACATGTGAAACAAATTGAATTACATCTTCACACTTGATCGGTTCATTGCAAATCTAACTGAAACATATAAATAGTATTCTCATTTTATCTGATTATATCTGTATTGTTTTGATTATCAGTTCAGTGTAATTCAGCACCATGTCAAAATGGAGGTACTTGTAACCCAGCAGGATCATCATTTAGTTGTAGCTGTGATACCGGGTTTACGGGATCGACCAGCAGGATCATCATTTAGTTGTAGCTGTGATGCCGGGTTTACGGGATCGACATGTGAAACAAACAGTAAGACAAATTAAAAACTTGAAATCTACATAGATGCGCTTTTCAATTACATCTTCATTATACCTGAACGGTTCCTTGGAAATCTATCTCAAGCAGATAAATAGTATTCTCATTCTATCTGATTATATCTCTATTGTTTTAAGTATAAGATAAATATGATTCATCACCCTTTGAACTTGGAGGTACCTGTATCATAGCATGATCACAATTTAGTTGTAGCTGTGATACCGGGTTTACGGGATCGACATGTGAAACAAATTGAATTACATCTTCACACTTGATCGGTTCATTGCAAATCTAACTGAAACATATAAATAGTATTCTCATTTTATCTGATTATATCTGTATTGTTTTGATTATCAGTTCAGTGTAATTCAGCACCGTGTCAAAATGGAGGTACTTGTAACCCAGCAGGATCATCATTTAGTTGTAGCTGTGATACCGGGTTTACGGGATCGACATGTGAAACAAACAGTAAGACAATTTACATAAAAAAAGATATTTTCTCCAATGCTTATTTTTTAATCTGCATAGACAAATTGATATATTTTCTCCAATGCTTATTTTTAATCTGAATGGAGGTATTTTCTTGCACCATTTTTTAGCTGTATACAAATGTGATATATTTTCACAGCGCGCTTTTGATCTTCATCATGTTCATTGCAAATCTAACTGAAGCATATAAATTGATTATATCTGTATTGTTTTGATTATCAGTTCAGTGTAATTTGTATGGAGGTTTGTAACCCAGCAGGATCATCATTTAGTTGTAGCTGTGATACCGGGTTTACGGGATCGACATGTGAAACAAACAGTAAGACACATTAAAAACTTTAAATCTACATAGATGCGCTTTTCAATTAGATCTTCATTATACCTGAACGGTTCCTTGGGAATCTATCTCAAGCAGATAAATAGTATTCTCATTCTATCTGATTATATCTCTATTGTTTTAAGTATAAGATAAATATGATTCATCACCGTTTCAAATTGGAGTGTACCTGTATCATAGCATTCTATCTGATTATATATCATAGGTATCTGTATCATACAAAATGGAGGTACTAACCCAGCAAGCAGGATCACCATTTAGTTGTAGCTGTGATACCGGGTTTACGGGATCGACATGTGAAACAAATTGAATTACATCTTCACTATACTTGATCGGTTCATTGCAAATCTAACTGAAACATATAAATAGTATTCTCATTCTATCTGATTATATCTGTATTGTTTTGATTATCAGTTCAGTGTAATTCAGCACCGTGTCAAAATGGAGGTACTTGTAACGCAGCAGGATCATCATTTAGTTGTAGCTGTGATACCGGGTTTACGGGATCGACATGTGAAACAAACAGTAAGACAATTTACAAAAAAAAAAGATATTTTCTCCAATGCTTATTTTTTAATCTGCATAGACAAATTGATATATTTTCTCCAATGCTTATTTTTTAATCTACATAGACGCGCTTTTGAATTATATCTTCATAATACCTGAACTGTTCATTGCAAATCTAACTGAAGCATATAAATAGTATTCTCATTTTCTGATTATATCTGTATTGTTTTGATTATCAGTTCAGTGTAATTCAGCACCATGTCAAAATGGAGGTACTTGTAACCCAGCAGGATCATCATTTAGTTGTAGCTGTGATACCGGGTTTACGGGATCGACATGTGAAACAAACAGTAAGACACAAAAACTTTAAATCTACATAGATGCGCTTTTCAATTACATCTTCATTATACCTGAACGGTTCTTGGAAATCTATCTCAAGCAGATAAATAGTATTCTCATTCTATCTGATTATATCTCTATTGTTTTAAGTATAAGATAAATATGATTCATCACCGTTTCAAATTGGAGGTACCTGTATCATAGCATGATCACCATTTAGTTGTAGCTGTGATACCGGGTTTACGGGATCGACATGTGAAACAAATTGAATTACATCTTCACTATACTTGATCGGTTCATTGCAAATCTAACTGAAACATATAAATAGTATTCTCATTCTATCTGATTATATCTGTATTGTTTTGATTATCAGTTCAGTGTAATTCAGCACCGTGTCAAAATGGAGGTACTTGTAACGCAGCAGGATCATCATTTAGTTGTAGCTGTGATACCGGGTTTACGGGATCGACATGTGAAACAAACAGTAAGACAAATTAAAAAATTCAAATATTTTCTCCAATGCTTGATTTTTTTTTATCTGCATAGACACGCTTTTCAATTAAATCTTCATTATACCTGATGTTTTCATTGCAAATCTAACTGAAGCATATAAATAGTATTCTCATTCTATCTGATTATATCTGTATTGTTTTAAGTATCAGTTCAGTGTAATTCAACCGTGTCAAAATGGAGGTAAACCCAGCAGATCATCATTTATTTTCGGGTTTACGGGATCATGTGAAACAAATTATATCTCTATTTTTTAATATGATAACAATATGATATATCACCGTGTCAAATTGGAGGTAATAGCTTGATCACCATTTAGTTGTAGCTGTGATAGTACAGGCGACATGTTTGAATTACATCTTCATTATACTTGATCGGTTCATTGCAAATCTAACTGAAACATATAAATAGTATTCTCATTCTATCTGATTATATCTGTATTGTTTTGATTATCAGTTCAGTGTAATTCAGCACCGTGTCAAAATGGAGGTACTTGTAACCCAGCAGGATCATCATTTAGTTGTAGCTGTGATACCGGGTTTACGGGATCGACATGTGAAACAAACAGTAAGACAAATTTATATATTTTCTCCAATGCTTGTTTTTTGATCTGCATAGACGCGCAAATTGATATAAAAACTTCATTGCAAATAACTAATCTATCCGATTATATCTGCTTACACTATTTTTCGGGGAAAACATCATAATACCTGAACTGTTCATTGCAAATAGGAAGACAAATGAGACTTTTGATGTTGGGATAGAAAAACAATCTCTACTCCTATTTGAATTAAGGTTATTTTTATCCTCTTGTGAGAACAAAACATGGCTATTATCTATCCATTGTTTGTACGCAAAGTACCTGTCGAGTCTTATTCGTTTGATAAAAACCGGCTCGGCTTGATCACGTCGCGTAATCTGAACTAAAGAAGCTCACAAAGTCAGACAATGACATCGTCACGCTTGGCTAACATTAGTGTAGATTGTCGAGATGGGAGATAATTCACTACCTGACCAAATATTCCATTATTTCCTTACAGCTAAAATGCACTGCAAGGGGAAGCTTTGCGAGTTTCTTTTTTCTTTTTTTTTTTTAGTGAAGAAAAATATGTGGAATATATATGCAGAAACATGTTCAAATGCGGATGAAGTGATTAATGCATTTATGAAACTTTATACTTCTGTTTTGAAAAGTACACTCTGGTACATATTAAACTACATAAGAATTGGCATTTGTGCCAGTCGTACAAGGTGAAAATTTAAAATATGGGTACATCAAACAACCATGCAGTCATTATCCTACACAAAAAAGCATTACTTTATAGATTACTTACTTTTTACGTAGTTATTCTTCCGATGAGAGCGGGGTTGCAACCGGCTTCCCATAACATCGTCTTCAAGTTGGAATATTTATGATTCCTGGTTTTTTTCAAAAGGACTTTTACTTTCCCATCGTTTCTACTGAGACAGACTCACATTTGGCCTTTAAGTTTATTGTCCGTCCTACTGTGTAGCAGCTGTAGGTTTTTTCCGCAAGCCATAACATACCAAAATCAATAAATTAGTGTTTTGTTGCTTGTTGTATATATGATGTAGAACACCTAAAGGGCACGAGTCAGCATAATGAGAACGTGTTTATTGTCGTATATTCGTGCCCAGGTTATAACATTACATTGTAATGGTACTACGTGTCCTTACTAGTCTTGAACACTGTCGTTTTGTGATTCTAGTCAGGCTCTCTGGAGAATGTATAACCCTTCCTATACAAAACACGAATTTGTTTCCAGTTTTTTTTTTTTTTTTTTTTTTCATGATATATATCCATATTGTACTTCGTTCAGAAAAAATATATTTGTGTTCCTCGGAGTAAAGTTTAAAAAAAATGACACAAACTGGTGAAATATCGTTATATCTAGTATGAAATAAACCAAGGTTTTATATCTTTGCAGTTGCCAATGTACTACAATGTACATTCGAGGAAGGCGAGGTGGCTTGCCCATTCGAAAATTCTGACTTTGGTAATGAAATCTGGGAGATTAAAGAAGTAAGTCAATTTTTTCCCTTCAGCATATAGAATTACATACACTTGTTTACATTACTATAATATGTCTTGTGATTTTTTCCGGAAGCGAGTATTTGATTAATAGCACCTTTCTACGATGCCAACTTAGAATCAGATAGAGTAGAGCCAGATTAGGATTTAACCTTCATCATACGGCTGTTTCGTCCTTCTAGCACCCCTCAGTAATACTTAAGGTTCAACTGTTGTAACCTGGGAGCAGGCGATTAAGGAGAAGCAAAATTGATCAAAAGAAAATTCAAAATCTTAATTGGGAAGTCCTCTAGCCTTATAATTTGATACATTTCGTAATCTCCGGTACAAATATTAAGTTGTGAACTAGACTGAAGCGATTTTGTGATATATACGTCCAAATCAAAGAATTAATATACGGAGGACGAAATCATGAAACTGATCGAGTGTCTGGTTGACAACATCTTCGTCGAGCTTGGTGGTGAGATTTTCCAACAAACTATTGGTACACCAATGGGAAATAACTGTGTACCTTTGTTGCCTGACCTGACTTTTTATACGCGCTTATCAAAAAGACCTTACTAAGTCATTCAATTTCACTTTCAGATATATTAATGACGTCTTGTCTGTAGACAACTAGAAAATTATTGACCACTTCCATAGTATATAAAACAGAACTAGAAATCAAGGACTCTTCTACATCAGCTGCTTATCTCGATCTTAAACCAACAACGAAACGAATACGGTAGCTTTCCACCAAGCTGAATGATAAACATGATGATTCCAATTTTTCTATTCACATTTTCCAATTCTGGATAGCAACATCCCTGCGTCCTCAACCTCTGGCGCTTAAATGTCCAACTAGATTCGATATTCCAGGGTCTGTCACCATTATCACGATTTCATGAATTCAATTATTACAAGAAGACATCACAGACGGAAAAAACTCACAGCAGATTGGTGAAAAATATGCGATATTACGATCGTTTTAGGGATCACATTGAACATTACAATAAGCTGACTAATTCGTTCGTTAGCTTGTCTGTTCATTTGATTTACATGACGGGTCTCACTGATGATGCAGGAGATGCTTACTCTTCCGGAATAACTTGTCTTATTCTCCCTATACTATTCATGAGTTTTTTGTACATCTTTCTTTGTCACCTCCCCCCCCCCTCCCCCCTCCCTTGTTTTATCGAATCTGAGTTTGAAATATCATTATGTTCCCACGTACTGTTGATGTTGTTTCATATTTCTGAGAGTTTAGTACACGTGTTTACTCTGAACCATGCAACTATTGTGAATTCAATTAATTTTTTATATTGCTGGAAAGATTATGCGGCGATATTGTATACTTGACCGTATTAAGTAAAACACTTAATAAAGCAATATTTGAAACTAATATGAACCAATAGCATCCGTCGACATTAGTTTACAACGATTTACGTTCATCCTCCCACCGTCAAAATCTTGTCCAGACAACTCTTCTTACAGTTTTCATTAACATCTCTCGATATTATGCTATGCAGTCATCGATGTTATACCAATACGCTTTTTTGGATCTGACAAATTTGATGAAAAATGTTCCTATATCAACATACATCTATAGGTAAAAAACACACACAATAACGCATATACTGTCACTCTTCATCACACACACCCTGACATCCTATCTGTCATATACACACATATTCTCACTTTCATATATTATTACAGAAATGTCAATACTGGTCGCCCCTGTGTGCATATTAATTTAACACACTGAGAAAGGTAAAAGTTCAAAACTTCTCAAGTAATACCTTATTTCTATGTTGATTTGAAATGATTAAAATGACAAATTTTGGAAAATGAAAATATTTTATTTTTTAAATTTCTTTTTGATTTAGGGTTGTACCATATTTTTCAATTCAACCCTTTCTTTCTTAAATTGGTTGATTTTTTATGGAAATTATGGCCATGATTTTTAATAGATTGTACTGCCAAATTCTGTAAAACAGCACTGATGTTTTTTCTGCAATTTGTAATTTGATCATTATGATAGGCAAAGTGCCAATCAAAGGTTGAAGAAGACAGCTTGATATGTATTTGGTCTAAACTGTGACATCAATGTGTTTCCTTTGAAATAAACATGTTTAAATATAATTGTAAATGTCTGCCATACCCATTACTTCTTAACCTATTTCAATAAAACTCTTTAGTTACACATTTCATATGTTTGATTGACAGTGCAATTTATCATGATTTTTCCATCGTATATCTGACAATATTTTCTATAAACAATACTGTTATATGTATTAAGAAATGTGCTTATTGTGGGTATGTAATGTATTGTCTGTCTCCTTTGTCTAGGGGCAAATATTCCAGGGGCCGAGTGAGGCCCAAGAGGGCACTCGTTATTTGACTCTATGGATTCCTAGAAGACGTCACTTTGGGTTGCTTACTGCCCAACTGGAAACAGGTAATTTTCCCATTAAATGAAATTTGTTCTA